AGTTCTGAGTCTTGCTTTTAACTGTTTTTCATCAGCTCTCAAAGCTCAGAAACTTTCAAAGTAACTTTGCCCACTTTGTACTGTCTGCCCCACTTCACGGGTCACCTCTTTGTGGTTCAGGCATGTCCACACCCTTCACCGAGCACGCCACCCCCTGGGTGCCACCTGCAGCATAGGCTGCCCTTGCTGGTTCTTGACCAGGTGGAAATAGAAGAGAGTGGAGAGACCCACACAGAAGGGGTGGTACCAGGGGCGGCGAGTGGGGACTGCCGGGAGGACAGGGCTGGGTTTAGTGAGGGAGCCAGAGCACTGGTCCTGGGACTAGCACTTTTGTTCATTTGCACAAGGCCCAGAGGTATGCATGTGAGAATTTGGACTCCTGTAACAGGCATGGCGCAGCCTGGAGGGGCACTGCCTCAGACTCTCCTGTGCTTGGTTTTGCTTCCGTGAGGGAGGAGGGGGTGAGGGCATCGTCCTGCCTCCTGGGACAGGCCGTGAGCTCTCAAAGGCCCGCAGTTTCTCCTCTTGCTGGTGATGTGGTGCAGGTGCTGATGCCGTGTCCTCACACACGGCAGCACAGTGTCTTAAATGTCACCCAGGCTTCACCAGCATGGCCACCAAGGCCTCCAGTGGAGCCCTGTGAGTGCAGTTAACATGTGCCAGGGACAGGCAGTTGGCGTGTTCACACCTGTCAGAGGCTGTGGTGCTCCCTCTGGCCATGGGAGATAACCCCACTGAGTTTGCCCAGACGGTTCGCGTCCAGATGAATGGACATGAGCTAGAGTGCCCATCTAGCAGAAAGACCTCCCTGGCCCTCTGACGGGTGCCACATATTTACTCACGTGTTTCCTGCTTCTGTAATGACAGGTTTGCCCTTGCCTCCCATTTCTTCTGGGCACTGTGGTCCATCGTGCAGGCCAAGATTTCATCCATCGAATTCGGCTACATGGTATGTTTGGGAGGTGCTTTTGCTCTTCTCCCGGGGAGAAAAGGCTACATTATTGTGAATGCCCGGTGGAAGTGGTCCCACACACAGAGTTACCCGTTCCCTGTAAGTGCCTGAACCAGGGCACCTGGCACCCCGGACAGCAGGCTCAGCCGGGAAGGTAGCAGAAAGGCTGTCATTGAAGCCCCTCTGATGGAGGTTACGTGCCTATGTAGGCTGCCTCACTCCCGGGGCAGCAGGCCCTCCTTCCCTGCATCAGAAAAGTGCTGTATGGGCCTCTGGTTCTGACGGGAGCTGTAGAGATGCAGACGTGAGAGGTCTAGTTCCCAACCTTGGTCTCTCATGACACAGGGACAGAGTAGGAGTATGGGATGCATCTGTCACCACTCCATTTTCTGGCCTCCAGCCTCACCTTAGGTGGGAGCTGTGCTGAGTTAGACATCCTACTTATAGGCAAGCTAGGCTATCATTTTATTCCAACCTTCAGAGGTGTCTCGGTCATAGACACTGTAGTTACCCTCCATGAGTGTGGGTGGGTGTCCTGGGGCGGGGCACACAGAAGTCTGGAGTGAGCACCTTGCTTTGGGACAGGTGGTATTTTCCTCCTTGATCCTCTATCGGGGTAATTTCTGCTTCAAGACAGAAGTTAGTGAATGCACAGGTGCTGAGGGGCAGAGGGTAGGGGATGCACAGGTGCTGAGGCCGAAGGGGAAGTTTGGATTTTTAAAGCAAATACGAGTCATGGTCAAATGACACAGACAAAGTAGACTTTTTTATTTTGTGCTTGCGAGCACCTGGGAACTTTCTGCTTTAAAGGGGGAGCCTTTGTCCGTCAATGACTTCTTGAACACTTGGGGTAAATGAGTTGGGGAACCAGGAAAGGTCCTGTCTGGGTGGCGGGGCCAGGTGGGCCATGCAACCAAACTGGGTACCTTTAAGATGAAGGTGTGGGGTGAACACTGCCAGCAGCGTGAGAAGATGTCTCTAGAACAGGAGGGCTCCTGGGCAGGATCCGAGCAGCATTCGGGTAGGCAGGAGCCCGGGTTGAGCTGTGTCCTCCTGTCTCCTAGGAGTATGCCCAAGCGAGGTTGGATGCCTATTTCCACCAGAAGAGGAAGCTGGGGGTGTGACCGCGGGAGGACTTCTTACCCTCCGTCCCTGGACTGCGTGGGGCGGCCGAGCCATGGAGCCCTCTGCTCCGACTGCTGTTCCTGCGGCAAGAAGCTGGGGTGGCTCGCTGCCGCACACAGATGTGTATGATACGAAAGACTGTATTAAAATTGAGTAACATTTATTTCATATCTTGTTTACGATTTCACTAGGCCTCTGACAAGCTCGGGCAGCAGAAACACAGTTCAGTAGTGCAATAGTGCGATAGCTCAGATTCCTCTAGTCCAGAGAGGCCCCGCCTGCGCAGACATGCCGCCAGCCAGCATGCCACCACGGGCGCTTCTGGTCACTGTTGACTCTTTACAGGACTTTACCCTGCTGGTGAGCACTGTCCCGGCTCTCTGTAGGTAACGTGTGTAGACACTGCTCACTCCTGAGGGTGACGAGGGACAGGCAGACCGTGACGCTGCTCGTGGCCTGCCAGTCGTCTCCAGAAGCTGTTCCTTCACCCTCTGGTCCAAAAGGCTGAAGCTCAAGGAAGCAGAATGCACATGGCGGGCGCCAGCTGCTGTCTCCATGCGATGAATGTAGCTCCTGGTACCTGTCTTGTGTTCAGTTGTACGGACAGATCTCTCCCTAAGTGGGTGTAGCCTCTGCCTCGCTCTCCTCACTGAATGTTGCTTTATTAACTCTGCCTCGAAGGGCCACGGCGGGCAAGGGCAGCGTGGGGATGTGCAGGGCCCTGCCTCCCAGCTGCCTCCCGCGGGGACCAGGGGCTTTGTCCCCTCCCTGCCGCCTTTTCTCCTCCACGACTGCAGCCTGGAGCTGACCGTGCTGTGACAGGGCTGTCTGCCCCAGGGCCCCTCAGGAGCAGAAACCCTGGCTGGGGCTCTCGGTGGCCAACCCTCACTGCTCTGACGCCCCAGTGTCCTTCCGGTGGGACCAGCAGCCTGTGTGTGACATGTGGGGCGTGGGTAGACTATAGCTGTGAAATTTGTATATGTTAAATATCCTTTGGGATACTTTTTTTAAACCTGAACTCTTATTGAATTATTTCTGTGCATACAGTTCTGCTACCACAGAGATTGTACTATACAAACAATAAAAAAATAAAACCCCATCTTCAGCTGTCACCTTTGAGTCATGCGACGGCGGCCCAGTACGTGCACCGGCGTCTGCTCCTGGCGTGCAGGCTGCACGGGCAGAGGGGACACAGCAGCGCAGTCACTGGGAGGTTGGGCCAGGGCAGGGGGAGACTTCCCACTGTTCACCTTGTAGACATTTAAAACTTAACCAGGGAAATGTGTTTTAATGTTCAAGCAATAAATGATACTGAGCTGCGTGAGAGCTCACTTAAAACCTAGGTTCCAACTCCTTCCTGGGCCGGCCTCGTCCCCACTCCCCTCCAGCCTTCCTCCTCACCATGCCAGGCTTCTTGCCGCCTCTCCCGCTGCGATGCTAGGGGGCCAGGTCTTCAGATGATGGGCTTCTTCACATCAGCTCAAAACAGTCACCACGCGAAGAACGCAGTGCCATCCTGGAGACCACCCTCACTCGCATCCTCCCTGGCTCATCCCTCTTACTCACCACACGCATCTTTTCCTGAAATTGACGTCTTCACTCAGGTGTCTCCTGCTTGAGACCGAGCAGGGATCAGGCCTGTCCCTGTGTTCCTGATGACCTCCTTGCCCCAGGAGTGCCCAGTGCAGTCCTTTGCATATGCTGGTCCATGGCAACCAGACCTCCAGCAAGGCTCCCAGCCATCCATGTCAGCCAGGAGCGTCTCCCTAGGCCACACCTGCCTCCTCACAAAATATCACACACTAGCTCCCTCTCACCACCCCCACCCTGCAGGTCTGCCCAGCTCTGCTCCCCAGGGAGGTGTAAGGCTTGGGGCTTGGGCTTACACTCAGCCTGAGTCCCCCACACCAGCTTCCTCTGTTCCTCACCAGACATGGCCATCATCGTTTCTCAGCCACATCTGCCAGGCACGTGGGATTGCCACACAGCCCCTGAGGGACAGTCCTGGACCCAAGGGACAGGCTCCTGGCAGCTGGCCAGATAAGAGGCACAGCGATGGGGCCAGGCCCCCGGGCTCACTGCGCCCAGGGCGTCTAGCCTCAAAGCGGCCTTTGTTCCAGGCCGTCCAGCTGGAGAGAGAGGCCTCTGAGAAGCATTGGCTTGGCCTCCCAGTGGTGGGATCCAGGCCAGGAAGCTACAGGGGCCCCTGCCCCACCAGCTAAAGGACAGCCTCCAGGGAGCAGGTCTGGCTGCTGAGGAAGCTAGGCAAGGCCGAAGCTCCTGGGATGGGGAGACAGGGCCTAGAGTCTGGCTATGCCCCCTTACGCTTGGCGCTGTCCTGGCCAGCCTCTGCCCTTCCCTGCAGGATGGTGGTCTCTGGTGTATGACACCCCTGCTCGCCCTGTATGGAGTGCCCGGGTCCAGTCCCAGCACGAGGGATGGGAACATTGGCCAATTCATGCCAGGCACCCTCTCCACACCCAACATTCTCTCACAGCCAGTTTGTACACCCTCAAGGATGGGAAGCTCACTCCCCCGGCCCAGCATGGGAAGACACGCATTCTGAGCTAGAATGTGCAGGGAGCATCCCTCCTTGGTCCACCGAGGCTGGGCTTATTACAGATTGGCTCATGGGCCCTCTCCCCAACTTCTCAAGGCCCTTGGTCATGGGCCGGTGCCTCCCACCACCTCAGCTGCAAAGGAGGATGTAAGAGACAGGCGTAGAGGCTGCCATGGGGTCCACGGAACCAAGAGGCTCGTGGCAGGAGGAGCCCACAGCCCAGAGTCCTGCCGTTCTGGCGCGGCCCAGGCTCTGCCACACCAGCCTCCCCAGCCCCTGCTGCAGACAGGACCCAGACACAGTCCTGAGACTTCCTCCTCTTTATTCCTTTCCTGCTTCACTCAGCGGGCGGGCGGGCGGGGGGGGGGGGGGGGGGGGGCGCTGGCATGGCCACAGGTGGGCGCTATTGGTCCTCCATGGAGAAGGTGAAGGGGTTCAGCTTGTAGCCAGTGCCCGAGTAGAACTTGTTCTGGAACTCCACCCTGGAGTGAGAAGGGAGAGCTGGTGAAGGGAAGGCCTTGCCCTTCCCCCGAGCCGCCCAGCCGTCAGGTGGGCCGCTCACCAGTGCAGCCTCAGGGCGTGCAGGAAGGCGGAGAGCCCCTCCATCACTAGCAGGATGGCCACGGTCAGCACAGCGAAGGCGGCAAAGACAGGGACCAGCACCAGGGCCACCACACCCATCTCTCGTCCCATGCCCAGGCCTATGCGCATCACCATGGCCCACAGGACCTCTGACAGCTCTGTGGGTGAAAAGGGGGCAGTGGAGACCAGGGGCCAGGGGTGCCCACCCCACGTCCTCAGTAGCCTGTAGCCCACTTTACAGAGGGGACCCTGAGGCCCAGAGAAGTGACCCGCCCAGGCCACCCAGCCAGCAGCTGTGTGTGCAAGCTGGAGCCAGGACTTCACCGTGGCCGGGCCACCCACCACACTGCTCACTCACGGGCATGGGCCAGGCTCAGGGCCCAGAGGCGCAGATAGGAGGCCGTGTTGGAGATGCAGCCCAGGCAGAACTCGATGGTGTGGATGGCCTGGTGCATGAACACCTCAGAGAGCACAAACTGAGGGGGCGGGAGGGGGGACAGTAAGGGGCAGGCCAGGCCAGCGGTTACCCCCCCCTCAGGAAGGCACCACACCCACCTTGGCTTCCTCTTGGTCCCCTGGGTGCTCCGCCTTCTCCTCATCAGAGCCCCTAGCGTCGGGCGAGTCCAGAAGCCCAGTCTTGACCTCATCCTTGGGACGGGGTGTAGGCAGCGTCAGCGGACCCACCCAGACAGGCCCACACTGCCCCTACTGCCTGCACACAGCCACTCAGAGGAGCAAGGTGGGTCTCGGGCTGGCAGCGGCCCCACCTCCCTACAGCACCCCCCTACCTGCAGTTGGCCAGCACGCCTCAAGCGACGGTGGTGATTCCAGCGAAGGAACAAGGGTGTGCCAAGCAGCAGGACGGGCACTGTGGCCAGGGCCAGGACCACCAATGCAGACTGCACTACCTCCTGCAGGGGAGGGGGCCGAGTCAGGCTGCCCCTGCAAGCCACACACCCAGGGAGCCTACAGTCTGCTCCTCCCCCGGGTCCCCTCCCTAAGCAGGGACATCACTGCATAAGGAATCCTCAGCGAGGAGACAGGCTTCCGGGACCCACTGTGTGCCACCTCGCTGGGAGCCTCCCACTGTCCCTGGACCTCCGCATCTCACAGCTCGGGCCAGCATCCCTGTTTCTCAGATGAGGACTGGACCACCCTGAGTGGCCCAGTGACTGGGGGCCGCTGAGGGGTGTGAGCCCACTCGCCGCCCCAGCCCACCTGCCCAGGGAAGAGTGGCCGGTTGGTGGGGCTGCGAGAGAAGAGGAACATGTTGATGAAGTGGATGAGGATGCTGGGGGCGGAGGCGGCGCCGGCAGCCGAGACGCGCAGCCACTTGTAGATGACCATGAAGACCAGGTAGCCGAACAGGCCCAGCAGGAAGACCAGCTCCGGCAGGGTCTCCAGCACCAGCCGGTGCCACTGGCCAAAGTGTCTGGGGTGGGACAAGGGCCAAGTCACCGGACCACCCTGGCCCCGCAGTCCCCACTTCCCCCACCAGAGCCTCGGCCTCACATGTGGTTAAAGACTCCTAGGACCACCCCGAAGGCCATGTGGGTGACCCCCAGGATGACGGACATCTTCATCTTGAAGGAGTTGAGGAAGGTCAGGTGGTTGACAGCCAGGCTCCAGATCTGGGGTGGCAGGAGGGACAGGTGTCATCTCACCAGCCTGTTTGTCCCCTTTAGGGCCTCAGCACAATCTGTCATCTGCCCCCCAAGAGGCAGCAGGGCGCACTGGTTAAGGCAGACACGGCCAGACAACCTGGGCCAACCCCAGCTCTTCCTAACGGGTGACCTTGGGTCCTCTCCTGGGCCTCAGCTGCCTCCTCTGTAAAACGGGAAGGACGCTAAGGGACGCCTCGTGGAGTTGTCACAGAAATGAAACATGGTCATTGCACACACAGGGCTCAGAGCAGCGCCCGCCACAGTGACCCACGGCCGCCATCACTCTGACAGCCTCTCTGCTTTGTGGCTGCAGGAAGCGCCCGGCAAGGAGGCCCCTCATCTGTGTGGGGCCCCGAGCATCCAGCACCAGAACTGGGCTGCCCTCCTGCTGGCCTGCAGCCAGGACTCACAGGGTCGATGCCGAAGGGGTAGGGTCCCAGGAAGACGCCGGTGATGTTGGGGTCCAGAGAGAGCAGGGGGTGGTTGGCCAGGAACTTGTCACTGTGGCAACAGCAGGCAGGGTGGTCAAGGCGGTGGGGACGGGGCAGGGCGGCGGGGACCCGGGGACAGTGGGGACGACGGCGGGCCTCACCTCCAGCCGGACTGGTTGGCCATGGCGGCCACGCTCCAGCCCGAGGGGAAGATGACGGTGGCGCGGCTGAAGCACTCGTTGTAGATGAAGCCGGTGTAGACAGAGAACAGGCCCATGAGCAGGAGCAGGTAGCGGCCACCAAAGAAGGTCTGCCAGATCTGGGGGGGCGGGGGAGGGCTGTGAGACAAGGCCCGGACCCCGCCCCCCCCGCCAGCCTTCCCCCCCACTCCCGCTGCCCTTACTTACCTCATTCTTTGCTGTCTTGATGGCCGGCCGGTCCTCAGCCAGCACCATGGCCAGGGCGAAGAGGAACATGAGCAGCCCGTGGCCCACGTCCCCAAACATGACGGCGAAGAGGAAGGGGAAGGTGATGATGGTGTAGGGCGCTGCAGGAGAGGAGCCATGCGCTCAGCGGACCCCACAGCCGAATGTGCATCTTGTACAAGATGCCATGGAGGCCTGGACCCAGACTCTGGCACAGCAGCTGATTCAAACTTCTTTAGCAACACAGCGCGGCCAAACAGGACACACCTGCAGGCTCGCTGTGGGCCCTGGCCTGCTGGTTTGCAACCACTGACGATTGTACACCTTCCCAAAGCCGCTCTGATTCCCATTTTACAGGTGAGACAACTGAGGCTCAGAGAAGCTAGGACACTTACTGAGGTGAGCGACTCAGACCCCAAACCCAGGCCACTCCTGCTGCAGAGCCTCGGCTCCATGCCCAACCCCTCAACCCCGTGCTGGCTCCTTGGTGAGCTTCACCAGGGTATGCTGGGAGAAACACACCCCCACACACCACCGTGCCCGTGTGACGGGGCATCACAGGGAGTGTGCCCCTCTCGTCTGCAGAGGGTGGGACAGGCCCTATGTGTACGCCACCCTCCCAAGCTTCCACCAAAGCTGTGGGGTGCCGTGGCTCTCACCGGGGTTGACCTCCTGGTAGCGGCCCACACCGTAGGCATCCACGATGGCCTGGAAGCTGGCCGTGAAGCGAGTGGTACGGATGAGTGTGGGGGGCATGTCCCGGCAGGGGATTCGGTGAACCACGGCGCTCACACCCGCCTCGCTCTGGGCACCCGGCAGGTAGGCAAGAAGACAGACAGACAGATGAGACTGGGCCTTCAGGGACCCTTGACTCCCCCCGCCCCCCCGCCAGGCCCTGATGGAGACATGGAGCACTGAGGGTGCTAGCCGGGCGAGTACTGGGGATCCTAGGGCAGCCCCTCCCTTCTCTGTGCAGGAGGCTGACCAGCCCCACCAGCCCCGATCCAGGACGGAGAGAGAGCCAGACACCAGCTGGGCCAGAGTCGTTTGGAAAACTGAAACCCGCTGTTGCTCATCTAGGTGGCCCGGGAGAGGGAGCCCCATTGCCACCTGTGAGCACTGACTAGGTACTAGGTCCGGGCAACCTGTGGTGTGTTCACTCCACAGCGACCCCTGGAGGCAGGGTCATTGCCACCTCCGGTCTGCGAGAGGTCACAGGGCCTGTGAGCCTGGATTTGAACCTGGTTTCTGATTTAACGCCCACCCCAGCCCAGCCGACAAGGTGCCATGGCCCAGCCCAAGAGCTCTGGGACGTCAGGGGGGTTGGGCCAGGGCCATCCAGGTGGACTCCTCGGGGAGGGGGAGCCCTGGCAAAGGCACAGCCTGGGAACGGGAAGTGTGTTGTGAGGCAGACACAGGCGGCGGCCGGGAGCAGGGGAGGCGGGAGACCCCGCCAGGCTCACCGAGCTGTCATGCAGTGCCTGCTGCACAGCGGGCAGGTCGCGCGTGGCACACCAGGCCTCGGCGATGAGGCACTTGTAGGTGGCGCTCACGCTGCACTGGTTGAGGGCCAGGTACACAGCCTTCATCTTGCGGATCTGCACCTGCCAGGGCGGCAGCAGCCGCTGCACCCGGCCCAGCACCTGGTTCAGGAAGCGCTCTGTCTCCCCCAGGACCTGAGGCCAGAACGGGCAGTGAGGAGGAGCAGGGCAGGCCCCTGGGGGGTCGGCAGGGAGCGGGGGGGGGGGGGGGGGGGCGGGGGAAGAGGGAGGGGGCACAGGGTGGGACCAGGCCACGGGCGCCCACCTCCCGCAGCTCCTGGCTCTGCTGCTGGAGCTGCTGCAGGGCTCCCCGGCGGGCCTCCTCCTGCTCCTCGAACGGGAAGACGTGACAGTGGAAGCTGGCAGGGAGGACAGGTGACATGATTCTAGGCTGTGCAGGAGCTGGAGGCAGGGGGAGCTCACAGGGCAGTGCAGGGGCAGCAGGGGTCTGTCGCTGTGAGCACGGGCCAGGCACCGGCAGCCTGTGGTGTGGTCACTCTACAGTGACCCCTGGAGGCAGGGCCATGGCACAAGGGCATCGGGTGGCCAGCCCCCCGGAGGGCTCACCAGTCAGTGATCTTCCGGATCTTCTGCCCGATCTGCTCGCCCCAGTAGGAGATGAGGAAGGTCATCCACGTTGCAGGCTCACCCTGCCGGAGCGGGGCCCAGTTTACCCTGAAGTCCTGGCTCTGCCAAACACCTGGCCCCAGCCCTGTGTCCCCCCCTCGCTCACCGTCACCGGGTCCTCCAGCTGCTGCTCTGTCTCCCTGAAGCTGGCGATGAGGAAGCCACGGCAGGCCCTCCAGAGCAGGCGCTCCAGGGCGGCGGCCTTGTGGGGTTCCACGGCACCTGCCACAAAGCTGCCGGCCAGGCAGGGCTGAGTGGAGCGGCTCCTACCTCCCCCTGCATCGCCCTGGCTAGGCCACCCTGAGGCCAGGCCCTGCCCATGGGGGCCAACCAGGCACACTGGCCCTGCCTCCAGGGAGAAGGCAAGATCCCATCAGGCAAGGGCAGAACAGGAGAAATCCCCAGAGCAAGAAAAATCCCAGGCCTGAGGGAGGAGGGTGAGGGAGAGACCTGGACAAGGGGTCCTGGCCCAGCCCCATCTCTCAGGGCCTCCGTGGTGGCAGGAAAGAGCGTGAAGCTGCCCCTCACTTACTTGACCCTCAGGTCCTGGTGGGGCCCCTTGGGGGGCTGGAGCAGGGGGGTCCTTTCCGAGGAACCATCCGTGTGGATGGCTGCCAACTAGGAGTGGAGAGGCACAGTGAGCCAGGGCCCAAGTGGGGCCCGGCACCCCTCCCCGCCCCGTGCACCTGCCCGAGCTGGAACTGACCGAGGGGCCCTGGCCCTGGCCCAGCACGGCCGCGTGGAGCTGCAGCTTGTGCAGCTGGACCCGCAGGGCCTGCTCGTTGCCCCGCACGTCCCGGAGCTCCTGTGCCAGGCGATCCGACTCCTCCTGGATGCGCAGCAGGTCGCGGGGTGGGGGCGCCGGCAACCCACCCTCTGGGGGGGGCAGGGCCAGCCCAGCCCGCCGCACCTCCTCCTGCAGGAAGGCTGGGTGCAGAGGGATGGGCGTCAGGAGAGACCGGCCACAGAGGAGCCCCACCGGCTAATGGCCTCTATTAGCCAAGGGCTGGTTAATGTCTAGAGCAGGGGTGGGCAAACTTTTTGACTTGAGGGCCACAATGGGTTCTTAAACTGGACCGGAGGGCCGGAACAAAAGCATGGATGGAGTGTTTGTGTGAACTAATATAAATTCAAAGTAAACATCATTACATAAAAGAGTACGGTCTTTTTTTTTTTTTTTTTTTAGTTTTATTCATTTCAAACGGGCCGGATCCGGCCCACGGGCCGTAGTTTGCCCACGGCTGGTCTAGGGGATCCCACATGCAACCCCAAACTCCACTGGCCACCCTCAAACTGATTCATTGAGTCCGAGACCCCCAGGAAAACCCCAGGGCACACCTCCATTGCCACAGGCCTGCTCCGCTCCCCCTGAGCTCATGAGACTGCCCAGCCAGGGTCTGGCTCGCACAGTGGCCTTCTAGGAAGACCGGCCCTGGCATTGCGGGGCCCGGGACATGAGCTTGCCTGGAGGCCGCACAGAACCGGCCTGGGTACTTATAAGCTATCACCAAGCTGTCACACCAGTACAGTGTGCTCGGCTTCCCCCCACAGGCTCCTCCGGGGGGGCCCGGAGAGGCACCAGCGCTGAGGTCCCTCTTGCCCAGGACGAAGAAGGCGCTGCTCCTGGGGCACCTGAGCCCAGATCCTGGCCTCTGCCCACCCCAGTCCATTTACCGCAGAGAAAATTCTGCTCACGCTTAGAAACCACGGTGGCCCCAAAGGACAAATTCCTGGGCTCTCACACAGAATTCAAGGACGTTTCCCCTGGCCTCCGCCCTCTGCTCCCAAGAATGGGGGGTCCGCTCCCAAGATCTGTGGGGACCATTCCTACAGTGCTGGCTGCCCTCTCCTGGCTCTGCAGGGCCCAGCCTGGACCTCCCTCTTCTCTGTCTTTCACCTGGGTGACCCCGACTCTCCCTTTCATATCAAGCTCCTCCTCCAGGAAGCCTGCCTGGGATGTGGGCCTGGGGCCAACTCACTGAAGGTCTTCTCCAGCTCCTCACAACGCCGAACATCCACCACAAAGCGTCTCTGGAAGGCACTCACCGAGGCGTTAAGCTGTGGTTGTGATGTGGAGTCAGTTTTTCGGGGGTGCGGGGGCAGGGAGGGCCCCACCCCCAGGCCTGGCTCTCCTCAGGCTGTAGCTGGAGCCTCCCCCCAGAAGGTGCTATGCACACCGTGAACCTCCAGGTGCCCAGCTGGAGGCAGGCCAGACCCCACATGCCAAGGAGGGCACGGGAGAGCCAAGCAGGTCTGTCTGAACTCGGGCCAGGCCAGGGTGCCTCAGCTGGGAGCACAGCGTCTACGGCCGAGGCCGAGGGGTGCCAGCAGGGCTGTGCCATGCGGAGGGGAGGAGGTCCACCAGCTGGGTCCTCCCCACACCCTCCAGCCCACTCACATCTCTGAACTCCACGAGGCCCAGTTCGCCCAGCTGGCTCACACAGGTGTAGGCAGCAGCCGTGGGCAGGAAGAGCTGGGCCAGCGACACCTCCTCACTCCGGAACATGGAGCCCATGGTCCTGTGGGACGGGCAGGGGGTGGGGGCTCCGTCAGGGGCAGGCCACAGGTCGGCATTCTGTATACCTCAGCTCACATAATCCTAGAAGGTCCTGTTACCACGCCCACCTGACAGATGGGGAAACTGAGGCCCAGGAAGGCTCGATGGGGTGCTGCGATCACATAGGAAGCAGCCTGGCCCAGATGTAGTAACCCCACATCCTGACCCACAGCCCAACTTCAAGCCCTTTCCTAGCTTGGCTCTGCCTTATCCCAGACCCCTTCCCTCCACCCCTGATGGCTCCTGGTGACACTGGCCTCTGCTCCCACTGTCCCTCATCTGTGACCTGCCCTCACCCTGGACCCTACTCATCCTTGGGGTCCCATGGCCACTGCTCTTGGGACCCAGGGCCACGGACCTCACTGGTCACTAGTCTTTGTCTTTCTACCCCGGGACAGGGAGCATCTATGACAGCCGACAGCCGGCTGAGTTCGGGCCTGTCTCCACAGGCAGCTGGTGCCTCCCACCTGCGACGTCTGTGTGTCGAGGGGTGGGCATCGCCACTAGGTTCCCAGGGGCTCAGTGAGGGCAGAGGGCAGAGGGGGACACTCATGAACGGGGGACCTTGCCGAGGCCTGGGCTGCCTGGCAGCAGCCATTGTGGGTACGGGCGGGAGCAGCCTTCCAAGTGTTGAAACCCTTGAAAGTGAAACTGTGCGAACTTTAAAACGAGCCGGAAGGGTCTGGCGGGGCCTTGCTCAATCGTCCGCAGGGGGAGGGCCATGGTGGCCTCCAATGGGCCTGCGGATGCTCCCGCCCACAAGCCAGGGCTCCATGGCCACTGCTCTGGGACCCAGGGCCAGCCACTTCCCCTCCTGGGGGACTCAGTTTGCTTAGCTCTCAAACTGGGGGAGATGGGGACAGACGCCGGTGAAGGCCCCCCTGAAGGTGAAAGTTTGGCGCCAAAGTGCCTCGCCTGCTCAGCTGGGCACTTCCTCCCTCAGGGCCTGGTTTACTTAAGTCTAAATCCGGAATGCAACCCGTCCAGCCAGGGAGAGGGGAGAATGCCTGGAGGCAGCCGAAGGCGGCAGAAGCTCTGGGACCTGGACAGGGAGGGGTGTGTAGAAGGGGCCGAAGGCGGCAGAAGCTCTGGGACCTGGACAGGGAGGGGTGTGTAGAAGGGGCTGGATTCCGCTCCCTGGGGGTCAGGACCATCGGAGGAGCCCTGCCCAAGCTGTGATTGGCTGTGTGGCCTTGAGGGAGTTTCTTATCCTCTCTGGGCCTCCACTTCCTCTTTGGGTAAATAGGACTTGGCCACCCCCCAGCAGAGACAGGACCTGGCTGGGGAGATGAGCCCCCACCCCAGGTAATCCCTTCACCCATTCTATCTCATTTAAACGGAACAGCACTTTTGAAGGAAGAGGGCCGGCCCTGTAGGAAGCCAGGCCTGGGGACCCATGGGACCAGGCAGCCCTGAGCATCTGCTGTGGCAAATACAGCCTGGTGGCCCCGACTCACGGGGGCCTCAGGCCTGGGCATTTCCCTGGGTGGGACCAACTGTGGTGGGCATGGGTATGTAGAAACCTGGCTAGACCCTTCCCTGGCCCACAACCTACCCCTCTTCCTTGGCCCCTGCCAGAGCCAGGGGCCACCCCAGTCCTGTTTAAGGAGCAAATGAAGATGCCTCTGTCCTGTGACCTTCAGAGTCCAGGGCACTCCTCACTCTGCCCTCCTCTCTTCCTGGTCCCTCGGGAGGCTGGAGGCTGAGGCCAGCTCCTCAGAAACCCGCCAGATCTCTCCTCTGAGCCCCTGGCACACGATGATGAGCTGGGCTGGAGAAGGTCAGCCCCTCCTCCATTCCAGAATGCTGGGCTCTGGAGTCAGAATGACCCCACTTGCCTCTAGCTCTGTTTCTTCCTACTTGGGTGGGTCTCAGTTTCCTCGTCTGTAAAATGGGTCGCTCCCTCGGAGGAAGATGCAGCCGAGAAAAACTCTGAGTGCCACCAGGCCTGGCAGAGTTGGGCTCAGTCCTTAGCAGCTGTTAACACCCCATCCTCTTCCTCCTCCTCCTCCTAGTCGCCCCTGTGGCCCCCAGCAAGGCCTCACCCGGCGCGAGCGCGCACCCCCCGCACTCACCCCGGCTCTGCTCGGCGCACCAGCGCCGCTCTGGCTCTGTTCCTTCTGTGTTCCCGGCTCTGCGATACCGGCCTCGGCGCCAACGCAACTCACTTTCCTGGGCGGGACGGAACCGAGAGGGGCGGGGCCAGTTAATTCCCGCCCCCAGTCCCCGCCCCAGGCTCCGGGGCTGGGACGCGCTCGGCTCCGGTTTCTCGCCAGAGGCTGGAAAACAATTGTCGGCGTGGGGCGTGGAGGCCCTGAGACCCGAGCGGAGACACTGACCACCGCCGACCAGGCTTGTCTACGCGGCCGGACTGGGGGAGGTGCTGAGCCCAGGCCCAGCTTGGGGGCTAGAGAATGAGCTCCCCACCACCCAGAGGGCTCGCTGGGCCTATGGCTGGTGGGACCCCAACACCCTCAGGCCTGGGGTCCAAGATCCGCGTAGGGTCCAAGCCCAGCACACTCCCCTCCTTCTTAGTGAGGCCTCAGTTACACCTGGTCCTTACACCTTCCTGCCTGCGACCACCCAGATAAGCGCTCTGTGCCCCAGGGCGGATGGCTGCCCTCTCTGGGCCTCTTTCCTCCATGACGGCAGGACCCGGAGGGCCAGGCAAGGTTGTATTCCACTCGGGCCCGCACCCAGCATGTGCTGGGCAGTGCTCCACGGGCTGCTGGGGTGCCCCAGGGACCTGGCTGACTCAACTCCAGGGGGTTCATCGTGTCCCAGCACTGAACTGGGGCTCACAGTTACCCAGCTGCCTGCACTTTGGACAAACCAGGACCATATCCACTGGGGCCCAGGGCCCCTCAGCTATGGTGATCCTTGAAAGTCACACTGCGGGGTAGGAGTGAGCAAATGGAACCCCAGAACCAGGGCTGGAAACTGAGTCACGGCCAAGGTCAGCGCCCAAGTAAAGTGGGGGATGTTTGGAGCACCATAGCATTGTTCCCAGAGGGAACCCTCAACACAACCAAACAGCCCCAGTGTGTGTGGGAGGGGTCTCAGGTCCACCCTGCTGGGTGCAGGGGAAACGGGAACTCTATCGAGTTACAAAAGGGCGTCAGAGCTGCAGTCCTGACCCAGGAAAATGTTACTAAGGGAAAGACCACAGTGACCTGTTACTAAGAGTTTCTAGCTATCTGTGTGCCCACACAGGCTCCATGCCCATTCTCTAATGCTGGTTGCCTGGGGAAAGTGATTTGGGACTTTTAAGCCCCTTTTGTGATGGCCCCTTTGCAAGCGCTTTGCCACCAGGACCAGTGGGGTGGACTCCCAGGCACTTCCTGGGCTCTGGGCTCCCTTTGGAGCCTACACTTCCTTCTCATTCCTGTGCTGTTCCTTGGGCTGTGGGGGCCCAAAAGCCTTGGCCAGTGTTGGGGTCCAGCCTGGCCCAGGGGTCAGCAGTGATCTGGGAAAAGGGGATCCCTGGGCATGAACTGGAGAAAGGCTGGGTTTCTTTGCTGCAGGCCTTCTCAGAGCCTTGGCTGTGTTAACATGCAGTGCTTGTCCGAGTGAAGAGGAGACTTGGTGACCCATGGAACCCCCTCCCACTTCTCTCCAAGAAGCATCTTGGGAAGTGTTTATAACCTGGAAGTGATGGACAAGGGGGACCGAGTCAGACCGAGTTAGTTTGTTCATTGGATATAGGCTGTGATTCTGAGCAATCACTGCGTCTCTCTGCGCCAGCTTCCCCACTAAGAACACAGAAATCCTTTCAATGCTCAGCACGAACTCCTAGGGAGCTCATTCTGACTCTTCCACTCGCACTGGGCTTGCTTCCCAGAGGGAACCACACCACAAGCTGGGGTTGTAAAGCAGGAAGTCCTGAGCAGAAGCCAAGCCAGCAGCCTGGTCTGGGGAACTTGGCAAGAAAAGGGGATGTGGCTGGAGTGAGGCAGGGCCGGCTCAAGGTCAGCAGAGCCTGTGTCACCATCCCATGACTGTTACCCTCCGAGCAGGCTTCACTCTGACCAAAAAGAATGATCTGGCATTTCTGAGTTTCTGCCATTGACGTGCTTCTGCCCGAGACCTTGGGAGGCTCTATGTGCCAGGGCCTTAGTTGTGGGGAGCCCTCAGGAGAGGGCAGGCTCAGGACCTAGCCTGTGGACACCCAGGATCATGGAACTGGAGCTGACTGCGGCCTGCTGAGCCCTGGAGAAAGTGCCTGAAAAGATGTGTGGCCAACAGGACTGCTGTGGGCTGGAGCCCCAAGGAGGGCCTGACGGGTCCCAGAGTCCCCCGGGAAGGCTGGGCTGGCTCAGCTGGGCCCACCGGGGGACCGGGAGAGTCCACAGGCTGCGGCCGTCCCGGCGTGGACAGCGGATACATGACAGAGGCGGTGGGGGTCAGAGCTTCTTTATTGGCAGCAGGGGCCAGGGGCAGCTGGGCGGCGTCACCGGTAGAGGTAGTCGGCCTGGATGTTGGCGGCGATCTCGGCCTCCCACTTGTCCCCGTTGTTCAGCAGCTTCTCCTTGTTGTACAGCAGCTCCTCGTGCGTCTCCGTGGAGAACTCAAAGTTGGGGCCCTGCGGGTGGGGGTGTAGGCAGCCATGTCGGGGCTCTCCAAGGAGCTTCTGCCCCAGCCTCCCCCACCCCAGGGCCCACTCACCTCGACAATGGCATCCACAGGGCAGGCCTCCTGGCAGAAGCCGCAGTAGATGCACTTGGTCATGTCGATGTCATAGCGAGTGGTCCGGCGGCTGCCATCGGCTCGCGGCTCAGCCTCGATGGTGATGGCCTGGGGAGTGGCTCAGGGTGCTGTCATCTGCCAGTCTCCCTCAGCTCCGAGCACAGGGTCCCCCCTCACTCATTTCCACCCCCAAGTCTGCACAGGCCTGCCCCGTTCTGGACACTCATCCCCTGGGGGCCTATAGAGCATCACTGTCGGCCCAATTCCGCCCTTCCTGACTCCTCCCCCCGCAGGCTGCCCATCACATCACCTTCTCCTTAGCATTTCCCCTAGATGGCACTTCCTTGTTATTTGTTAACCTGAGGACATGAGTCCAGGAGGGGAGGGCTGTCACCTGCTGTTTCTGCAGTGCGGAGCTGCTCAGTTCTCCGGGGTGTACGCTGAACAACCCTCCACTAACATCCAGCTTCCCCACTGATGGACCAGGGAACAGAGGCTCAGAAGGTTGAGGCTCTTCCTTAGTCACACAGCAAATGAGGGGCAGAGCCCAGACGCGAAGGCTAGTCCTTAACTCTCAGTTCCTGGGCACAGTCTGTGCCAGCTGGGGAAGTGGGTGGCCTGAGGCCCCCACAGCCAGGAGGCTCTTCAAAGCGTTGTGGCAAAAGCCCTCACATGCCCGCCACGCACAGTGGGACCTGTGGCCTCATCTCTCTGTGCCTTAGTTTCCTCGTCTATAAAAATGGGGATAGCCCCGGCCAGTGTGGCTTGGTTGGGCGTTATCCGTGCACCAAGAAGTCACTGGTTTGATTCCTGGTCAGGGCACATGCCTGGGTTACAGGCTCGATCCTCAGTAGGCGGCAGTAGGAGGCAGCCTGTTGATGTTTCTCTCTCTCTTCCTCTCTCTAAAAATCAATAAAAACACGTTTAAAAACAGGGATAACAACTCTACTTCCCAGAGTTGCTATAAAGATAAGAGCCTGGCACAGTGCCTGGCTCGCTGGCAGCTCGCTCCCTGGGGGCATCACTACTGTCATGTTTTGGTGGCTGGACTGAGACATCAAGGCCACAGCCCGTGGCCCGGAGGGGGGGGAGTGGCCCAGAAGACATGCCAGGACTCAGAAAGGAACTGTCCTGGGTGGACACGTGGTCCTGGAGCAGCCCTGCGAGGAGGTCGCTGTGCCTGCTGGGGCTCCTGCTGGGCATGCCATGGTCTGTCTGCCACGACTGGTCTGTTTCTACACTACCAGGCCCTGACTTTGGGCGGCCCATGAGGGACCCTCCAATTGAACCGAACACGGGGGTTCAGGGGAGCAGTGACCAGGGACAGTGACAGCCTCGACTGTGGTTTGTGTGTCCTTGGGTCTGGTCCTGTGACAGGCAGAGGCAGGGCTCCTGAAACTGCTGCTGTGCCTGGGGGAAATGGAGACCCTCGGGTGCCACCCTGTGGCTCACAGGCCTGGGAGTCACATCCCTGACCAGACCTCCCAGGGCAGCGCCTGGTGTCATGTGGTCTGCTCAGGGCTGGCAGCTTACCCCGCTGACTCAGTGCCTCCCTGGCTGAGCTGGCCCCAGCGACAAGGCCTCCTGGTTCCCATTCACAGTGGGAAGTGGCTCAGAGAGGGACAGGGAGTTTCCCGGCAGCGGCCAGAGTCCTCAGCCTCCCTCTCCCCAGAACAGGGGCCAGGTGGCGGTCGGTGGGGTCAGGGCTCACCTGGGCCGGGCAGACGGCCTCGCACAGCTTGCAGGCGATGCAGCGCTCCTCCCCGGACGGGTAACGGCGCAGCGCGTGCTCCCCACGGAAGCGTGGGCTCAGCGGCCCCTTCTCAAAGGGGTAGTTGATGGTGGCTGGCTCCCGGAAAAGGTAGCTCAGGGTCATGCCCAGTCCTGCGGGCGGCATGGGCATGGTAGGTGAGGCCCTCATCCCTGACCACTGGGTCCCACTCTAGCCCGTCTGGCCCCCCCCCAAGGGCCCACCTCGGGCGAGTTCAGTCCACAGAAGGGTTTGAGCTGCCCGGTCAGTCACTGACTTCATGTCCATCGAGGGCTCTCGCAAGTTCACGTACTCTGCAGGGGAAACCGGCAGGAGGGCCTGTGGCAGTGGTTCTCACAGCCTCACCTCCCCCACCACAAATGCAGCTCAGGGAGGTGAGGCCCCACCCCTCTGGCAGGTACAACAGCTCCAGGCCCTTGTTCATTCACCAAACCTTCCCAAACCGGGTGTGTGGCCATCTGAGCCCAGGAGTGAGGGCGACGGGAAGGGGCTTAGGTGTCGGGGTCCCGATGAAGAGGCACAGGCACCCAGCCCTCCACAGGGGCGCTCTGAGATCACCCGGGAGCTGAGGGAAGGCCCCCACCCCCTGCCACGAGGCCGTTCCCATGGGTCATGCGCAATCTCGATCCTCCTCCTCATTTTACAGAGTGGAAACGGAGGCTGAGAGGGGGGGATGCTGCAAAGCCAGGCCTCCTCCCCTGCCTGGCAGGACCATGGTCAGGAAGGCCTGTGGGACTCACTGTAGGTGGCGGCCACTGCGCTGCTGTGGAGGCTCCGGGCACTGGGATGCCCTGCAAGGAAAGGGGCTTTGCTGTGCGGCTGCGACCTCAGGCCCGGACGCTGGGCTCCCCGCACCTGGGAAAGGCTCACCTGGTCCTACCTGCACGAACAGCCTGGGCCAGGGCCCGAAGCACCGAGGGTGTCGTCAGGCAGTGCATCTGTGGGTGCGAAAAGGGAGGGAGGTGTGGTGCGTCCCAGACCTGGCCCCCCAGGAACTCAGGCTCTGCGGGAGACCTACCCTCGACCTCAGGGCCTCGGTGTCCTCTTGTCCCCTACCGAACCCCACTCCTGTCAGAGGCACAGGTGGCCTTCCTGTCCCCGGGTAGAGCACCTCTCAGCCCAACATGGCAGCTCAGCGTGAGAGCGCCCAAGTTCGATCTTCTCACCTAGGAAACCTTGCAAACCCATCTCTCCTCCCTCCCGCACCAGTGCTCCTGCTCCTGCCTCCCAGCTCTCCCTCCTGCTCATCCTCCCCACGCAGACGCAAACATGGCCAGTGGCCACCAGCCGGACGGCGAGGTCACCGCACCCTCAAGATGGAATTCCTTCCCCGGCGCCAAGGCCCTTCTGGAACTCTCTCAGGCGGTCCAGTGACCCTGGCCAGGTGGGGTCAGCTGGCCCGTTTCCTCATATGAGAAATGGGGGGAGGGGGGACGTTCGTAAGAACGGAGGGAGTTCCTACAAGCCAAGGGTCTAGCCCAGAGCAGGGCACTTAGCGGGAGCTCAAGCCTGCCCCTCCCGCGACCTGCGACTTGCAACGGGTCCATTTTTTTTGACACTGACTTCAGGGTAAGGCACCCGACCCTTCTCCTCCGACCTTCCCTATGACCTCTGACCCCAAGGACGCCGGCGGCGCATGCGCCCCGAGGATGCCAACTTCTAGGTCCCTCTGCCGCACGCTCAAGGGCACGGGGACGGCGGGTCTGTGCGGGCCGAGCTGAGGCCCAGGGGCAGAGCCCGCAAGACCAACAGAGGCGCCACACTCGTTCCCGACGTCGCGCTGCCCAAGCCCAGCCTTAGCAGCGGAGCCCCAGACACCCACCTTGAAGCGCTGCCACTCCTTCCCCTACCGAGCGGCCCGCTCGCCGAGAGGCGGAGCCTACCTTCTGGATGCTGCCATTGGACCGGCTGGTTTCACCGTCTCCGCGCCGACTATCCATGCTGTGGTCTGATTGGCCAGTGGCGCAACAGAAGGAGGCGGGATGCAGAAATATCTTTCCTCTGATTGGCTATCGAGGAGCAGGCGCTTGAAGTTACGTTGAGCGCCGCCATGTTGTATCGGAGAGGCCAATAAGCAAGGACTCCGAGACACTGGGGGCGGGACATCCGGGGCGTGGTTTAGGGAGCGGCTCGGGGCCGGCCTCCGCGGCGGGGTGTGTGACGAAGGTGGTGAGGATCGCTGGTGGCGGTGGTTCCGTGCGGGACTTCACCCAGGTGGCGTTACTTCTTACACAGCCCTGGGACGGTTATGATCGCTTTACCAATGGGGGCTGAGGCACGGGCTTGTTAAGTTTGCCCACGCCCTAGACCTGCGAAGTGCGGCTCCCTGAACCGAGTCCTCTAATGACTCGGGAGCCCGCCCCCCCCCCCCCCCCAGCCACCAAACCTGCGTTTCCTTCGGGGACGGGTGTGGCAGGCGACACCGGAGGCTGCGGAGGCGGCCTTGAGGCCTCCTGTGTCTGGGGGCGGGGGGCGGAGGGCTGGGGGGGCTTTGGAGGAGGCGCTGTTGTAGCTGAATGCGGGTGGGAGCTGAGCCGGCCAACGGGGGCAGAGAGCATCCCGGCGTGTGTCCTCCCGAAAGGACCGGACAGGCCACGGGTGCGGGCCCGGGGCCATGGCGGAGCTTCCAGCCAGGTTTGCGGGGTTCAGGCCGCGGGCCGGCGGGCTCCAGGCGCTCTGGGAAGAGCTGTGGGTGAGCTGGGGAGCCGCGGGGCCCGGGGGGAGGCTGGCTTAGGGGCGGCCCTGAGCGCAGTGGTTAATGTGTGGGTCCGGGCAGCTGTGTGGTGTCACAGAATCCTCGGGGCTCGCCGAGAGGTGGGGCTCGGGAGATGAAAGGGGGTGCCCAGCCGGAGGCCGGTGAGTTGGGCTTTGTGGCCGAGTGTGTGGGGGACCATTCCATGGCCTCCCGGCCCAGAAGGATGAGACAGGGAGTAAGATGAGCCGGGGGTGGGACATGGTGCGGGTAAGGCGCCCCGGGCTGGCCACTGGGGGGACAGGAGTGTGTTCAGAGCTCCGAGAGCCCGAGCTGGAGGGAGAGGTGGGGAGCGAAGAGGGAGGCGGCTGCACCCCACCTGCACCCGGAGACAGGAGGTCTGGAGCTCGGGGTCAGCAGCTCGTGTTTATTAAGCTCCCAGATGTAATCTCACAGCATCTGAGATGCTGATCATTAGTCCTGTCCACTGTACAGAGGGGGAGCCGCTCGGGGCAGAGACGGCCGGGTCGCCACAGGTCCCGACGGGGCCTGGACCAGATGTCGGCGCCCCTCCTGCTGCACCCTCCATGGGAAAGGTGTGGCTCACAGGTGCCCACGTCTGCCCTCTCCCGGACGCAGGTGGCCATCCTAGTTTGGGGGCAGCCGAGGAGGAGGCTGAGGGCCAGAAGATGGAAGGCCGAGGAGGGCAAGCCCCGGGCTGGGCTGGGGCCCTGGCAGGTCTTTTCATCCTTGTGCCCTGGACCCGAGGCCACATCTCCACCCACAGGTGACAGGAGGACCCAGGCATTGCCAGGAGGGACTTGGAACCCCGGTGCCCGCGGTGGGCTCAGAGCAGGGTGCAGCTGCAGCTCCGGGCCTCCATGGCCACCAGCAGCATCCTCAGGTTGCGCGGCGAGTAGGGTGGGTAGCGGACGGAGTAAATCTTCTCCATCCCAGGGCTGCGCAGCAGGCAGGCGCGGTGGTGGGAGAAGGTGTCGAAGGAGAACTTGCCGTGGTAGCTGCCCATGCCGCTGGCCCCTGCACAGGGGCACAGAACACGGCAGTCAGGCCCTCAGTGGCCAGCTGAGGCGACATAAGACAGGTGTGGGCTCTGCCAATCACGCAGTGCGACCTGGGTGGGCTACCCCCCCCAGCCTTGGTCTCCCCATCTGTAAAGTGGGCTGGCTCATCATGAGAGACTGGGTGTTTGACCTATGGCATGTTAGGACCTGGCAGAGCCCAGTGTGGCCGGGGCAGCAGGCAGGGGAGCCGGAGAGGAGGCCGGGGCAGGACCTCGGAAGCTGTCAGGCCCTCAGTGGCCAGCAGGGGCCTGGCTTGATCCCGAGGGGCTTGGGAGCTGTGGGAGGTTTTCACTGGGAGTAAGTGGTAGGATCAGATTCACTCCCAGACAGACCCCCACACACATGTCAGTGCAGAGGCAGGTCTGGAAGGTTCTGGTGCCATCAGTCCAGTGAGGGAAGAATGCAGGGCGCTGCCAGCACCTACCCACTCCTCCGAAAGGCAGGCTGGCGAGGATCAGGTGCATGAAGCCGTCGTTCCCACAGAAGCCCCCGCTGCTGGTGCGGGCCAGCACCTGCTTGACCACCTGGGAACAAGCAGCAATAAGGCGGAGTGGCTGGGCAGCAGGAGGCCAGCCTGCTGCGCCCCACCCCCGTCCCAGGGGCTCTGTCCAGCCCATTGGGGCCCCAGGAAGGGTCTGAGGCCACCACGTGAGCCGAAGGGGGTGGTGGGACCAGTGGAGGGCATTGTTTAGCAGCCTGCCACCAAACTCCCAACTCGGCATGTTTCCGAGCATCTGCTCTGGTGTGAAGGGTGTGGGGACACGCTCAGGCCCCAGGGGGAGGTGGGAACCCAGCATTTGCCTGGGGACATGCAGAGTTCAGGGAAGGTGCCAGGGAGTCAGGGAGGTGCCCCAGGAGAGGGATGTGATGTGCCTGTGGTGTCTCAAGGGGGGCAGAAGTCATTCAGGCAGAGATGAGAAAGGGGAAAAAGGTCCCCCCACAGGCGTGCTGGGCAGGGGGGAGGCTGAGGGACAGGAAGTGGGGTTGGGGGCGCTGTGATGTGCGGCACAGGGAGGTCAGACACAATCACGTGATCAGATTGGTATTTTAGAAGCATGAACTTGGCCTTTGCTTGACTTTAGGAAGCCCTTTCCTCTTCACTCTGAAGGCTTATTTGAAGAATAAGAGGGAACAGGTTAATAGTCCCTAATTGTCATTATGTTCCTTTCCAGTGTGTGACCCTCAGGTGACAGCTGGGTCAGGCTCGTCAGTGGTGGGCAGAGTGGACCCCCCCCATCAGTGGGCTCAGGTCAGTTGAGACCAGCAGTCACGACCCAGAGGGTGGAGCGGGGGGACGTCAGTGCTTCGAGAGGAGTAAGAGTAAGTCATCTGGGGGAGTCGAGTGCCTTAAGGGTCCCTGCATCCTGGGACCAGGCCTGGGGAGTCAGAAGCTTGAAAGCCTCTTGCCAGGGGACCCCCATTCCCAAAGCCCCGTATGGCTCTTTCTTATGTGAACATAATCCCGATAAACCAGGGCTCCTGGAGGAGCGCTGACTGTAGGGCTGGTGGATAAATTAGGAGGTGAGCCGGGGGCGCCTTGTAGACCCGGAAAGGAAGGAGGTGGAGAAAAACAGGATGGGCGGGTCTCCAGGCCAGAGGAGCCTGGACAGCTACACACCAAGCGACCGGCTGGGATCCTGGGGCAGAAAGAAAAACTGGCGAATCTGAATCGTGTGGAGTCGAGTGAACTGTGATGCGCCAATGTCCGCCCCTTAGTTTTGACCAATATCCGGGCCCTTCACCCGGGAATTGGGCGTGTGGTATATGGTCCCTGGGCCATCTTTGTAACTTTTCTGTAAATCTAGTTATTCCAAAATAAAGAGCTTATTTTAAAAAGCATTGTCGAGTCTGCAAGGGGTCTCATGAGAGCTGGTTGAGGAGGGAGGTGTGCTCTGAACTGGGGGTGCTACCCTTGAGGCGCTGGGGCGGCCCCAGGGGCTTGAGCAAAGCTGTGGTGAGAGGTGAGGGGCCAGGAGTGGGACCAGGGCCCATCCTTGGCCTATGTGTTCTGGTCCTTCATCCTGCCCATGTGTGTGCCTTCCATGAGCTGGGCACTGAGAGGGACACCAGCCACCAGGCCGAGATGGAGGCAGGGCTGACCGAGGGGGGCGCCGGACGCTGGAGGGCGTAGCCCAGAAGCAGGGGAGGGATGTGGCTGCTCCCGAGGGAAAGGGCAGAGACAGAACCAAGATTGCCGCCAACCAGGAACTCCTGTGACTGCCAGAGGAGCCAGAACTCCGGCCTCCCTCCAGGTCCCTTGGTCCACTGCTGGCACCTGCCCCACCTGTCTAGCCCTGCCCGGGCCCACCTGGCTGCTGTTGGAGAAGGTGTACAGGGCCAGGGGCTTCTCCCGGCGGTTGATGAAGTCGATGGCCTCGTCCAGGCTCTTCACGGTCACGATGGGCAGGATGGGCCCGAAGATCTCCTCCTGCATCACCGGCTCCGTCTCCTGCACGTCCACCAGCACCGTGGGGGCTACCCGGGCACAGGGGACGGCTCAGCCCCGGGCGTGGGGCCTCGGGCAGGGCCCAGGGACCGGGCTCCAGGCTCGGGGATGTTCTAGGGAAGAGTCTCCCCACGGCCCTGAGAAGTGACCGGGAACCCCGGGCCCCAGCCTTGGTCTGACAGTCTCAGGGTGACCGGATCTCAGACCCCTGGAGCCCAAGGTCCCAGGTCCCAGCCTGTGGGAGCAGCAGCGTCACCGAGTCGTGGGGCCCAGAGGCCGGGGCTGCTTTGTAAGGACAGGCCGGGAATCGAGGGCCCACAGGACCCGGGGTCACGGCTGTGGAGCAGCAGATGCTGGGGCTGAAGCTGGGATCTGCGTGTTCGGGAGCCTGGACACTGGGCCCAGCTCCGAGAAGCAGGGTCATGGGGTCACAGGCTCGGACCATGGCGACCTGTGGCGTTAGTGTCTGGGAATCGTGGCAGCAGAGCCCTGGACCCGGCTGGGCTCCATCAGTGGGGCCCTGGGAACCTCAGGGCCCAGACTGGACCAGCTGTGGCCTCCAGCGAGGGAGGGCCTTAGCCGGGGTCCCGGGGCCGGGGAGCGGGACTCACCGATGTAGCGGTCGCTCTCCTCACTCTGGCCCCCGATGGCCACGCGGCCACAGCCCAGCAGGCCTCGGAGCCGCTGGAAGTGCTTCTCACTGATGATGCGGCCCAGGTCTGGGGAGGCCCTGGGGTCCTCGCCATAGAAGCGGGTGATGGCGCTCTGCAGGGCGGGCACCAGCCGCTCCTGCATTTCGGGGCTGCACAGGACGTAGTCGGGGGCCACGCAGGTCTGGCCAGCGTTGAAGTAGCGAAACAAGGCCACTCGGTTGGCCACGGTCTGGGCATCACAGTTGTCATCCACGTAGCAGGGGTTCTTGCCCCCCAGCTCCAGCGTGACGGGCGTCAGGTGCTTGGCGGCTGCGGCCATGACAATCTTGCCCACTCGAGGGCTCCCTGTGCATGAAAAGAACCCCGAGTGACCTTCATTCGCCTGGACCCGGTGGGATGGCCTTGGTTTGGGGACTGGGATCCCTAAAGGGGGGTTCACTTCCTGCCCTGTCTCCCTGGACAGGGGGTTGAGTCCGGGGGCTGCCAGGCCTCATTTGGCCGTCCCTTGCCAATCACTGCACAGCAGGACCTTCTGCATGCCCCCTCCCCCCTACCCCCTCCCTGCTTCTGATTCCTGATCCCCCCGCAGGTGTCTCTTCCACACACTGCCCTGCACTCCTCACCACTTCTCCATGCTCCTCTAGAACCCTCAACCCGCCTTAGCTGGTTTGGCCCAGTGGATAGAGCATTGGCCTCTGGACTGAAGGGTTCAATTCCAATCAGGGGCACATGCCCGGGTTGCGGTTGTGGGCTTGATCCCCAGTAGGGGACGTGCAGGAGGCAGCCGATCAATGATTCTCATTATTGATGTTTCTATCTCTCCCTCTCCCCTCCTCTCTGAAATCAATAAGAGTATATAAAAAAAACAACAACAAAACACCCCTCAGCCCTGGCCGGTTTGGCTCAGTGGGTGGAGCGTCAGCCTGCGGACTCAAGGGTCCCAGGTTCGATTCCAGTCAAGGGCATGTACCTTGGTTGCGGGCACATCCCCAGTGGGGGGTATGCAGGAGGCAGCTGATCGATGTTTCTAACTCTCTATCCCTCTCCCTCCCTCTCTGTAAAAAATCAATAAAATATATTTAAAAAAAAACACCCTCAACCCTCGGTGACTCCTATCAGCTGAGGCCGGAGCCCAGCTGCAGCTGCAGACATTTGGGTCTCTCCTCTCTCTGAGTTGACCTGGCAGCCTTGCCGCCTTCAGCACCCACTCCTCCCTCCACTCCTGGCTTGTCCCGACCTCTCTGGGGTGATCTCCTGGGTCTCACAGTGTCCTCCTCCTCTCAGCCTCCCCTGACCTGACGCACGCCCACCCCAGCCTTGGGCCTCTCCTGCCCACACCTGGCCCAGGGCCCCCGCTGCCCTTCTGTGGGGCTGGCCCTGGCCCCACTGCCTAAAACTCAGCCGCTGCTCTGCTCTTGGCTCCTGCTCCCTCCCCAGGCTTCTCCCTCAGCTCCTCCTGTCTTTGCAAACATCTCCTTGTCTCTGAGGACTCCTGACCCCCCAACCTCCCCTTGTTGAATTCCACTAAGGCCTCCCCACCCGTGCCCTTGGGGTGTGTGTGTCCTCTAGACAGGCCGGTGACTTGGGGATGGTTCCAGTCTACACGTAGGAACACCAAGGCCTGGCAGAGTGGGCTTGGCTGGTCTGTAGGCCTCTGTGCCGGCTGCCCTGGGGACCTGGCCTGGAGCCAGACTCAGGCCTGCCTGCCTCTGTACCCGCCGTCCTGGGGGCCAATGCCCGAAGCCCATCGAGCTGTGTGGCATGATGGTGGAGGTTGGGTTGGCACTCTTCCGGCTGCCTCTTTCTATTCCTCCCACCCCCCAAAATCGGCAGGAACAGCTGAGGACCCTGGCCCCTCTGTTTCCATAGTCCAACCCTGGCCAGTGGGTGATCCAGGCTGGGCACCGAATCTAGTGGTCTGTGCCCATGGGTGGGGCCCCAATCCTCCTGAGGGTTCCTGGGTCCAGGGCTGCTCCCAGCCTCCTCCAGGAGAGAGGAGCAAGCTTGTCCTGCAGGCCAAGGGCACCGCTGGGCACTTGACCCTCTGAGTTCTGGCTGTCCATCTGGCTTGGTACTTGTGGCCTCTCTCAGGGTTGGGGGCAAGACCCCTCAAGGTGGGGCTAGGTGCAGGCCCCCACCCTCCACCCTGCCCCAGCCGCCTGCAGCAGGCTCCTCACCCGTGAAGAAGATGTAGTCGAACTTGTGCTCCAGCAGCTGCCCTGTCTCCTCGGGCCCGCCCAGCACCACGGCAAAGCAGCTCTGCAAGAGGGACAGGCAGAAGGCTCCCCCTGGGACCCAGCCCGGGGCTGCTCCCTCCGGGCCTGACCTGACCAGGACTGCCAAGGCTCTAGGTGGGCTTCATGGGGGTGAGGTGAGGTGGGGAGAGGGGCCTGGCAGGGCTGGTGGGAAGGCTGAGGCCACGGTTGGGGGCGTAGGGACCCCCAGGAGATAGGCTACTCAGAGCACTGCCGTGGTTGCTACCCCTCTGTGTCACTAGGAGGGAAACTCAGGCTGAGAGGGGTGGTGACTTGGCCATGGCCACTCGACCCACAGGAGGCAGGAGTGAGGTTGGAACTGGGTCCTGCCCAGCCGGTGGGGCCCGCCTGCTCTGCTCACCCGGTCCAGGTATCGGGGCAGCACCTCGACCAGGACCCTCTCGGTGTTCTTGCTGATCTCCGAGGGCTTCAGCACCACGCAGTTCCCTGCAGGGCAGGACAGGGCAGGGCCAGAGGTGGGCGAGTGGGAGCCATGCCAGGTCTCCATTCACTCCTCACACCTGCAGGACAGGTGTCGGCCTCACTCTACCTTCAGGTGAAGAATCTGGCTCAGAGAGGTGACATGGCAGGCGCAAGGCCTGGCAGCCTGGGGATGGTGAGCCGCATGCCAGCCAGACTTTCTTAGCCACCTGTACCACCGCTCCTCCCTAGCTCTGTGGGCCCCGGGAGGCCATGAGGGAGGGGCCGGGTGGAAGGTGGAGGCTGGGCTCTCACCTGCAGCAAGGGCGCCCACCAGGGGCACCAGGGTCAGGTTCAGGGGGTAGTTCCAGGGGGCGATGATGAGCACCAGGCCGAAGGGCTCCTTCCGGATGAAGGCGGAGTCCAGCTGGGTGGCCTGTGCCAGGGCCAGCGTGGCGGTGAGGGGTGAAGGCCTGAGACTCCAGCCCCTCAGCACCACCCTCCTCCTCAGGGGCTGCCCAGAGAGAAGCCCCCCACCCGGAAGCCCCCCGTGCCTGCCCTACCCCAGGCCCACTCACCAGGTTCTTGGGCACGGTCTCATCCTTCATCCAGGCCCGCAGGTTCCTGAGAGCCAAGTTAATCTCGCCCTGGCTGATGCTGATCTCAGACACCTCCGACTCAAAGGCTGACTGCGGGGGAGGGGCCGGGTCAGCCGGTGGCCAGAGCCCTGGAGAGGGCACAGCCTCCTCGAAGCAAAGCCTGCTATTGTTTACTCATCCACTCATTCTCTCCATGGTCAGCGAGTGCCTACAGTGTGCAGGGGCCATTCTTGAGCCAGGGATGCGGCCGTGGCCGAGACAGACAGAAAACCTGCCCCTGGAGCTGCCATCGTGGGACAGTCAGCAAGACAATGACAACACAGGCAACTACAGTATCAGGAGTTGGTGCAATGGAAAGATGAACAGGGTAAGGGGGATAGAGACTGCTGGGGTGTGTGTATGTGTGTGTTCACGAGTGTGAACAAGCATGCATGTGTGTGCAAGTGCATGCGTGAGTGATGTGTGTAAGAGTGAGTGTGTGAATGTGTGCATGTAGGTATGTGTTTGCTCTGTTTAATACAGATGGTTGGTGCCGGGCTCTGGGATGTGGTTACATTTGAGCAGTGAAGAAAGGGAGTCAGGGAGCCCATGAATATACGGAGGCAGAATATTCTAGGCCAGCGGTCGGCAAACTGCGGCTCGTGAGCCACATGCAGCTCTTTGGCCCCTTGAGTGTGGCTCTTCCACAAAATACCGACTTCTGCGCATGGGCCACGAAGTTTCAATCGCACTGTTCATGCACGTCCACATGTGGTATTTTGTGGAAGAGCCACACTCAAGGGGCCAAAGAGCCGCATGTGGCTCGCGAGCCGCAGTTTGCCGACCTCTGTTCTAGGCAGAGGTCACAGCACGTGCAAAGGCCCTGAGGTGGGGACAGACCTGCTATGTTCTCGATTGGCCAGGAGCAGAGTGGGTGAGGCGAGGGGGCCAAGCAGCTGGGTGAGGACTGTCAAGCAGAGTAGGGACAGGATCTAGCTTAAGTTTTAACAGGATGGTCTGTGTGTCCCACAGTGGCCTGCTGTGTGCATATCAGTCTGCAGGGGACACTGGGACAAGCATCCCGGGGTAAATGCCATCAGTTCCCACAACCTAGGGGCCAGGCATCACTGTCAGATTTCCAGGGCAAAAGGGAGGAGAGACATCTATAGGGACATTGCCCTGGCCTCGGTCTCCATGTGCCTGTCTGGCCCCTACCAGGGAGGAGAGACCCCGTCCACGGGCTGCAGGCTGCATGAGGCCCATTGTCAGGGACACCAGAGCCAGGCTGTCCTGATGCCTGAGACTTGGTCATCACAGCACAAGCTCCGCCCTGCTAGAGGGCAGGGCAATGGTCCAAGGGGTGCCAGGCTGGTGTGAGGATGAACTGAAGGCCAGAGATGGGGATGCCCTGCTCAGGGTCACTCAGCAAGCAGGTGGCAAGGCCAGGGCCAGGGCCGGAGCTGAGCCGGCTAGGGCTGTAATTCTTTATTGTTTAAAGTATTACATATGTCTCCTTTCCCCACCATTGACCTCTCCTGAGAGTAGGCTGTTTTGAGCCAGGGCTGTGTGTCCTCTCTGTGCCTCCTTTAGGGGTGCCCGAGTGTGGCCACCCTGCCTGGAAGGCCCTTTGGGGTTAACTGAGAGGATTCATGCAGAATAGGGCAGGGCAGGTTTGGGGACAGAACTTGCCAGATGAGAGGGAGGGACCAGGTGAATTTTCTGGGCTGCTGCTCCCTTTGTGGGGCCGGGCTCCTGGGACCTTGAGGAGCTAGGATGGGAGGCGGGAATGCAACCTGAGCCAGAGGGAGAAAGGGACCAGACAGACAGTCAGCTCAGGTCTCCGTGGAGGGGCAGCCGGGCCAGCAGGTGGGTGGAGGCAGAGGCTCAGTGGCGTACCAGTCCCCGACCACGCCCAGGGAACCGGACACTCCCCACAGGGCGGCGAGGCACTCCCCACAGGGAGGAGCGTATGGACGGGAGCCCCGGCTTCATGAATGGGAAACAAATAATTCCAGAACGGGCGATGAGGGTGCTGGGGGTCACCTGGCTACGGCACTGGTAAAGAGAAGGTTTGGCGACACCGAGAAAAGGAGCAGGTCTTAGCAGGAGCCCACATTCTCAGACAAGTCTTTGTGGCCAGTGTCTGCTGTCCCTGTGGGACGGGGACACCTCATCCATGACTCCAGGTGCTCCGAGGCGCTAGTCTTGAAGCCTGTGACTGCTCCAGGGACAGGGCAGGCACCTGGCTGGGTGTCTGGGAAGAGGGCGAGTCCCAAGGAGGCTGCTGAGGGACCCCTGCCCTCCGGCATCCGGCATCCGTGCCTCTGTGTGGCCTGAGTGGAGCGGCTGCCCACTGGGAAAGTGGGGGAGGGAGGAAGGGCAGGGTATGGGCTGGTTGACCCTGAGGGTCTGAAGCAGGCCCAGAGCAGCAAGGGGTGGACCCCAGGGGTCAATGCAGAGTCCCGTGTGTGGCTCAGGAGGTCCCAGGCCCTTCCTTGGACATACTTGGGCTTAGGACTAAGACAAGCTCAGGACAAGCCAACGTGGGACTGTTGTTGTCCCCTGGGGACAGGAGGTGACCACCAGGGCGGGTGGGCAGCCAACAAGCACCAAGCACCGAGGTCCCCTCCCAGGTGTTAAGTATCCAAACACCACTTCACCTCGGCTAGTTGACAAGGAGCCTCAGGCCTGGCTCTGGGGGCTCCAGGTGGTGAGGGGCTGGTGGGACGAAAGGGGTGGGTCTGGACACCGTGGCCTTTGCAACATGCACAGGAGTCATTTTTCTAAAGGACCCGCTGGACAGCTGTCCCAGGGCAGCTAAGCAGTGGGCCTGTCAGCTGAGGAGGAGGGGGCTGCCTACAGGAAAGTGCATTTCTTGGAGTCCAGCCATGGCTGCTGCTGGAATTGGGAGGGGCCGAGCCCCCAGGCCTCCAGGGTTTGGACACTGTACCAAGTGAAGCTGAAGTCCTCCAGCCCATGAGGTCCTGCATGGTGTGGCCCACGTCCCTGGACCCCATCTTTTGTGTATCTCTGCTGGCCTCCTTGCTGCTCCTCAAGCATAAACACACTGTGGACAAAAGGGGCCACATGCTGACCTGACAAGCTCAGGGGAGGCCTGCATGGCGGTCTTGCAAACTCGGAAATCTAAAGTAACCACAAAGGATGGTCTGAAATGAAACCTTAAAAGCAGTTGAGAACCGCTGCCCTAGATAGTCTCTCCATGCTGTCACCATACTATGTGATTATCTATTTGCTGTCATGTTTGGTCAGAAGGCCAGTTTGCTGGGCACAGGGACTTTGTTTTATTCTCTGTTGCATCTCTAGATCCCAGAATAGTACCTGGCACATAATAGGTGCTCAGTAAATAGTCAAGTGATGCTGGAAGCTAATTCCAGCCTGTCATAATAAATGCAAAAAGTTCCTCAAAAGGTTGATGGGCTTCTATATTCAGCAGGGCTGAATACATATTGTTGCCTGCTGGAATGGCTGAAAGCATTTCCCTAAACCTAAAGATTTGCATATATTATTACCTGCTACCAGACAGCTGAGGGCATTTCCCCAAACCTGATACCTACTGTATATGAAACCTTAACCTTTGATATGTATATCTGCTTTGCTTTTGCAGTGGTTCTCAACCTGTGGGTCACGACCCCTTTGGCAGTCGAATGACCCTTTCGCAGGGGTCGCCTAAGACCATCCTGCATATCAGATATTTACATGACGATTCATAACAGTAGCAACATTACAGTTATGAAGTAGCAGCAAAAATAATTTTATGGTTGGGTCACAACATGAGGAACTATTTAAAGGGCCAGAAGGTTGAGAACCACTGCTCTAGGACAATTTGTGTTACTAAAGACCGAGGGGTTCGGAGATTGAGAGAACTTGGTTGCTGAAGCTAGGTCTCCTCTGAGAAGGTGGAGTCCAGCCATGGCTGCTGCTGGCATTGGGAGGGGCTGAGCCTTCCAAATTTATATTTCATGTCTAGTCTCTTTATTAATTTACACGCAGCCCTTCTCCAGATTCCTGAACCCTTCTAGATGCCGGATAACACCCGGCAGAGTGAAAGAAGACGTGAATGAATGGATGAATGGAGAGGACCAGGTTATGGCACAGCCAGAGGGTGGAGTTGGATGGGCTTTTAGTTCCACTTCATAGAGGATGAAGCTGTCACCAGGCCCCCGGTCCCAGCTTCCCCTCCCTGCCTGCCTCCCGCCACCCCTCACCTTGCGCAGGTCCCGCGCCAGCGCCTCCTGCAGCAGCTGCTTGTTGTCCTGCAGGAAGCGGCCCAGGCCCTTGAGCTGCGCAGCCCGGAACTCCGCCGGCCGCGTCCGCCCGGAGCTGAAGGCCTCCCGCAGCCGCTGCAGCGTGTCCTCGAAGGGGTCCATCCTGTGAGGGCAACAGGGAGCATGGGCAGGGATCCCCACCTTCTCAGGCGCCTGCTTCACCCCCTCCTGCACCCATGTGGGCTCACAGACACCCTCACTGGACTCAGGTGTAACCCCAGAGGGCCAGGGCTGGCCATGTTCACACACACACACACACACACACACACACAGCACGCACACACACAGCGCACACACACACACACACAGCACACACACACACACACACACACAGCACACACACACAGTGCACACACACACACAGCACACACAGCACACACACACAGCACACACAGCACACACACACACACACAGCACACACAGCACACACACAGCACACACACAGCACACACACACACACACACAGCACACACACACAGCACACACACACAGCACACACAGCACACACACAGCACACACAGCACACACACACACAGCACACACACACACAGCACACACACAGCACACACACAGCACACACAGCACACACACACAGCACACACACAGCACACACACACAGCACACACAGCACACACACAGCACACACACACAGCACACACACACAGCACACACACACAGCACACACACAGCACACACACAGCATACACGCACACACAGCACACACAGTACACACACAGCACACACACAGCACACACACACGCACAGCACACGCACAGCACACGCACACACACAGCACACACACAGCACACACACAGCACACACACAGCACACACACGCACAGCACACACACAGCACACACACAGCACACACACAGCACACACAGCACACGCACACAGCACACGCAAACAGCACACACAGCACACGCACACACACACACAGCACACACACAGCACACACAGCACACACACAGCACACACACACAGCACACACAGCACACACACAGCACACACACAGCATACACACACACACACAGCACACACAGCACACACACAGCACACACACAGCACACACAGCACACACACACAGCACACACACACACACAGCACACACACACAGCACACACACACAGCACACACACAGCATACACGCACACACAGCACACACAGCACACACGCAGCACACGCAGCACACGCAGCACATACATACACAGCACACACACAGCACACTCACAGCACACACATACAGCACACACACACACACAGCACACACCAAATGCACAGACAGCTCCCCTTGGTCAGTGGACAGGGGAGCCCTGGACCCTGAGGACTGGTGTGGGCTTGGGGACAGCTACTCCACAGCCCCTAGGGGTGGGCAGGCAGCCAGGGTCCAAACAGAAATTAGCCCCAAGCCAGGACCCCGCCCCTTTCCAGTGCCCCTCCTGGGGACGGGGCTGCCCTCACCCTGCCAAGCCTGGAGTGGCCAGGAGGAGTTTGATAAGGAGAGGGGCAGTCCACCAACCGCCACCACAGCCACACACGTGGGGACGTTCCAGACACAGAATGCTCTGTTCCCCACCCCCATCCCAGCGGGGGGGGGGGGGCATTGCCAAGGGTGACAGTGGCTCAGAGGGTGACAGAGAGCAGGGGCCTCCTCTCCCTGTTCCCGAAAAAGACAGGGAGAGAACAGCCTCCCAGAGGCTCTGCTGCCCACCCCAGTGGGGGCCGCTGTGCAGGAGGAGCAGGGAACAGTGGGGACGAGGGGTTGAGGGGCAGTCATCAGCCAGGGCTGGCAGGTGGAGTAGAGACCCGACATTCCCCCGGGGCCCCACCTGTTTACTCGACAGAGGAGCACTCTGCCGCATTTGTTCCGTGGCCTGGTGCCAAGGACCCGGGGGACCCTTTCCTCCTGCCCTTCTGACTTCCTCCTTTCAGGTCTCAGCTTGCCTGATGCCTCCTTCAGGCAGCCCACCCTGGTTACTCCCTCCCACACCTCACAAGGCCCCTTGGCTCTGCTCCCGCTGCACCGGGTCACACGTGTAATAAATACCCAGTTTCATCCTGTCCTCCTCCCTGGATCTCCCCCTCCTTTCCACCCCCTCCCCCCATTAGACTTAACTCATCGTTGGGGGTCCTAGCACCCACTCTCCTGCTCCTTAGGGGGCAGTGAGAGCACCCACCAGCTGGCGCGTTGTTTGTCAAGAGCGAGTCCAGTCTGAGCCCAGGGCCGTCGTCAGTGCCTCCACAGCTGCCGCTGTTGTGCGATGGCTGCTGTCACAATGGGTTCAGCTTTCTAGAAACCCCATGGCCCGAGGGCAGAGCCTACTGCAGCCAACAGGATGGCGGCCCAATGGGCCTCTGTGCTGAGAGCCTGGCTGGAGCCCTCCCGGGCCCACTGGGTGTGACTGGGGCCAAGCTGACCCCACAGGCCCCTGGCTCGGGTTGGGGAAAATGGGGCAGTTACCTCGGGCACCATGGCCTTAGAGAGGGTGGCGGTGTGGCAGAAGGGGATGTGCTCAGAGCCCCTCTCGGCCCCAGGCTCCACCCTTTTTCTGGGACGAAGGCGCCCTGGCCCTGCGGAGACCCAGGTGCAAGAGCCTGCGGCCTCTGGATCCGCATCTGGGCTGGTGTCCCCGGCTCTGCCTCTTAGTGGCCTGACCTTGGGCAAGACACTCACCCTCTCTCTGCCTCAGTTTCCTTGTCACAAGGTGGGGATGAGAGAGCGCCGGCTGTCCTCCTGGGGATTAACGACGCGTTTTCCTCTGAGCAGGGAGCGCCCAGTGAAGCCACAGTGCTCCTCCCGCCCCTCGGTCCTGCTGTCACTCACAGACTTCTGATGGGGGCTGGGGCACAGCACCCCACCCTCTCCTGCCTCCCAGGGTTGTTTGCACTTTCGTTAGAGCCTTGGCCGAACCCACAAAAATGTAAGGCGCGGCACCGGGCACTGGGCACTGGAGTGGTGCACTTCAAGGTGAGGGCGGGAGCTCTGCGGGGGTGCGGTAGGTGGAGGGGGCAGTGGAAATCAGGATGGAACCTTCCAGCAGCCTCTCTTGGCAACACTGAGGCAAACTCACCCAATATTGCCCCCTGCTGGTTGGCCCCCAGGAGCTGCCCGCTGGGAAATGAGGAGCTGGGCACAGCCAGGCACGCATGGAAGCCAAGGCTGCCTTCCACCAGGGTCTGGGGGGACCCTGGGCCTGTGACCTAGCAAAGGACCCAGAAATGATAGGGTTCCCCAAGTCCACCGCCATCCTGGGCACATCTGAGCAGCCTAAGTTCATAAGGAAGTCAGATTCCACCCTGGCCGTTTGGCTCAATGGATAGAGTGTCGGCCTATGGTGGGTCCAGGTTCGATTCCGGTCAAGGGCACATACCTCGGTTGCAGATTCAATCCCTGGCCCTGGTCCAGGCCTGTGCGGGAGGCAACCAATCAATGTGTCTCTCTCACATTGATGTTTCTGTCTCTCTCCCTCCTACTTTCTCTAAAAATCAAGGGAAAAATATCCTCAGGTGAGGATTAAAAAGTCAGGTGCCATCACCTGTGCCCCAGTGACTCACTTAACCAGGACAGCTGGGAGGGGCCCCCATTGCTCTCCCCATTGGAGGAGATGGAGATCAGGCACAGACAGCAAGGAGCCTGCCTGCGGCCCCATCCCCCACCGAGGCTGGGCGGGGAGCAGGGGAGCAGGGCAGCCTGACCCTGGGGAGATGGGGCACCTTGGCCGGCCTCAGCTGCAGACCCCGGGCCAGGTAGGCAGAGGCGTGTGGTACCCAGCTGGGTGGGGAGGTGTGTTGTCCGTATCCTGCTCCCTTGGCCGCTGGCCCCTCACTGTTCCTGCCGATCCCCACTGTGCTTCCCCATCTTGCCTCACCCGAGGTCCGGGGCTGGCAGGCCAGGGCTCCCGGGGGCACGGACCCTCACAGCAGGCTGCGGGGCACCCACTCAGCCGTTTCTGTACTGGACCTGCTGCTTCTGGGTGTGTGTGTGTGGGGGGGGGGGCAGGAGTTGCTAAATCGCTGGATGGTGATAAGGGACAGGCTGTTTCCCTGGCCTGGGACCCGGGAGGACGAAGCAGGTCCCCTTAAGGCCACAGGCCTGGGATTCCTCTAATAAGAATAACCAGGTGCTCACCATGCCAAGCTCTGTGCCAGCCTGGGTGTGGCTAGAGCCCGGTGCCCCTCAAGAAAGCTGAGGCCCAGGAAAGTCACAGGGGCTTGAGGAGGGGGATGGATGGGGTGGGCACCCAGGTCTGCTGGCTCCAAGGCACCATCGCCATCTCCTGCTAGGAGACGTCGGGTAGGTGGCACGGCCTTTCTGGGGCTCGCCTTCCCTGTCTGTGAAGGGGGGGGCACCTGCAGCTGCCCCGTGTGCTGCTGGGAGGTCCTGTGTGCCAGGCCGAGCCCTGAATGCCCAGTGACGATGTCTCTGAGAGGCTGTGTTCAGACTGTGAGGGGCAGCTGCCCAGGGGCTGTGGGAGGAGAACTGAAGGCAGTGTGAGCGCCAGGGAGGCCAGGACTTCCACCTGAGACCCAGGGCGGGGCGGGGCGGGGCGGGGAGGCAGCGCTGGGGAAGATGACCGAGGTGACCGTGGTGGCTGGGGCCCTCTCAGCTGCCAGAGGTGGCAGTCACCGAGCAGCCTCAAAGCTCCTGATTCCAATCTGATCTTACCCTGGATTTCCACAGGCCCTGAAGCTCTGGGCAGCTGCCCCTCCCTTCCTTGAGGGCCGTGGGGTGCTGGGACCAACCCCAGCCCCGTCCACGGAGAGGCTGCGCCGAGCTCCAAATGCATGCTTGACCGCTCCCCCCCTCGCCCCCTCCCCCCAGGATGGGGTGCTCTCCCTCCTGGGAACGCCAGGTCCAGAGCTGGGTCCCTGGGCTCCCCTTACAGGATGTGTAACCCCAGAGAGAAGAAGGGTGGTGGCCCAGCTCAGACAAAACGAGGGTGCCTGCTGTCGGCCTCAGGCTCCCCCCCACACTCGGAACTTTCGGGTCCTCAGCCCTTCCCACTCCCCTTTAGATCTCAGCAAAGGGACGTCCCTCCCCACTTCCCCTTTCTCCCCAGGCTGGCCGAGGCGTTCTGAGGACAAAGCCGGTCTGTGCTTATGGCCGGGAGTGGCCTGCCTGCCTGGGCTGCCAGCACCCGGAGTCCTGAGCCAGCCCACCAGCCGGATCCCTGGCCCCGACTGCTCGCTGCTCTCTTTCGGCCTCCCCAGGACACGGTACCTGAGGCTCTGCCAAGCTGTCCTTCCTCCTGGCGTCCTGCTGTGTGGCCAGCCTGCCTTATGAAATGTCCAGGGCTGGGCCTGCCCTGGGGCGGGGCCGCCCTGGCCTGGAGCCTGGGCTGAGATTCGTGGCCACCTCCCTCCCTGAGCCTGAGAGTGTGACCCCTGCTGGACCCCGAGCTAGATCCGGGCCAGAACGGAGACTTCCTTCCCTAAATCCCCACAGAGACTCTTATCAACCCGCCAGGCGATGGTTTCAGACAGGCCCCTTGCCCTTCCCCGGGTGGGCGGGCGTGCACGGCTTCCCCCTCACGTGTCTGGGGCGGTCCCACCCGGAGTCCCCATCCATCCTGGCCCGTCTTATGTAACTCCTTGGTGCCGTCCACGAATCCACATCCCCTTGCCACTGCCCAAGGCGCACTTCACTGGCAAGTCTCCTTAATGAACCCTTGAGGTAATGAGGGGGTTGCCAGCCTCCTGTGGTCTCTCAGCCCCAGGAGCTCTGAGCTGAGGGGCCACCCAAGGCCCGGTGGCAGGACCCAGGCCCAGCTGGAGCAGGAAGGAGGGACCAGGCAGTGGCTCTGAGAATTATGCTGTGGGGTGGGGCCCAGTGGCTCGGAAGAGGAAGGAAAACCCTGCCCCCCACCCCCACAGCCCAGCTCACCCGAGTCTCAGTTCCCATCTGCAAAATGAGGAGGCAGATCCAGAGATGGCTGGAGTCCAGAAACGCAATCTCAGGGCCACACCCTCTGTGTGTCTGTGTCAACACCATCAACACCTCGTCTAGCGCCCCGCACGGAGCCTGGCCCCGCAGCCGGGCATTTTACACGGAGGAAACGGGGTCCCAGAGTGGAGACAGGACTTGATCACAAAGGGCACGAGTCGCAGGGCTGGGACCCACTCGGGGAGCATCCATTCCTAGGTGTCCCCTCCCACCCCCGGGGAAGAGCGCGCCCTCTGCCCCCAGGGCAGCTGTGTGATGGCAAGTGTCACCATGGTGGTTCCTGTGTTCCTGCTCCTCAGGTGCCTCAGCACTGCCGGGCACCTGTCCTCTGCCCTGCCCTGGCCTCCACCCCCTCACACCTGTGGGAGCCAACACAAAGCGGGTGATTCCCTGGCAGCTGCTGGTGTCAGATAGGCAGGGCTTAGGTAACAGGTGTGGAGGCAGGAACATCCTGTGCCATCACCCTGTGCCAGCTACCCTGGACCTGCTGCCACTGTCCCCGCTGCCCTTTTGCCTTGGTGCCCTGGATCTGCCTCTGATCCTGGCCTGGGGCCTGTGGGCCGCCCCACCCCTGGGAAAAGCTCCTCATCACCCCCACCCTCCCTGCCTACCTGGGAGGGCAGGAGAGGTCTGGCCCACCCCTGCTCTGGCGGCCTCCGGAGTCGTCAGCCACTTGGGACAGGGGTCAGGGCCTGCAGAGGCCCCCGTCCTCTGTGAGTGATGGAGCCCCCAGCCGCTGCCTGTCACGTGGCTCAGCATGTGACAGCCCAGCCCTGCTGTCTGGAGCCGAGCCAGGCAGAGGCAGAGGCAGAGGCAGAGGCAGAGGCAGAGGCAGAGGCAGAGGCAGAGGCAGAGCTGGCTCTAGGTGGGGCTGGGCTAGGGCTGAGCCTGGCAGCCTTTGGCTAGGAATCAGGCTCAGAGAGGGACAGCCACTGGACTAAGGCCACACAGCAAATCAGGGACCCAGCTGGGGAAGTACTGGTGAGTAGGAGGTGTGTTGCAGGATCTCGAGGGGTCCCTCCCTAGCCAGGGATCTCCCCCTACAGGGGCTACTCCTGAACTTGTCATGAATTCAGGGACACCCTGGAAGGTCCCCAAAGAGGCCTGACCTCCTGGCACCGGGGTCCTGACTGGGGCTGGCAGTGAAGCCCCCAGTCTGAGGGGCACTGTTTCCGGGGAGAAAGAGGGGCCAGTCCTCTCCCCTCTCTTGGTTGGATGCCTCTGTTACAGATGCAACAACAGGCTCAGAGAGGAGCAGAGACCAGGCCAGGGCCACAGCGAGAGGGGCCGCCGGGGATTCTAGCCCAGCCAGGCCAGACTTGCCGACCCTTGTTTAGGAGCTGTGTGGGGAGGTCACCCCTACTCCTGGGAGCCCCTGAGCTGGACATCTGGGTGCCAGGCCCTGGGCAGGGTCCGTGGCACATCTCAGCTTAGGGACCTTCCCTCAGTCTGTGATGATCATCGTCCCCACGGCATTTCGTTTTAAAAAGTGGTGAGCCCTGACCGGTTTGGCTCAGTGGATAGAGCGTTGGCCTGCGGACTGAAGGGTCCCAGGTTCGGTTCCGGTCAAGGGCATGTACCTTGGTTGCGGGCAATCCCCGGTAGGGGGTGTGCAGGAGGCAGCTGATCGATGTTTCTCTCTCATCGATGTTTCTGGCTCTCTATCCCTCTCCCTTCCTCTCTTAAAAAAAAAAATCAATAAAATGTATTTAAAAAGTGGTGAGACCCGCCTCAGTGCAGAGAAGTGGTGTTGGGCGAGCGTGCAGTGGGCCCAACAGACCACAGGAATGCACATGTAACAAGGACTTAAGGTCCAATACTCAGCCGTAGAGTAACCTCTTTTTCAGGCAGGGCCTGTGAGGCAGAGAGAGAAACCTTGCAGCATCAGGGAAATCAGAGCGTAAGAAGCAGCTGCTACCCGCTGAGCGCGCTGAGCGCGTGCCGTCTTGCTGCTGGGGCGGGAATGGGAGACGTTTGGGACACGTCGGCGCTGGTGGGCCTTTCACGAGGCAAACCACCGCCCCCCTCCTACCTTTGCTTTCTGGTTGTTTCTTTTTTTTTTCTTTCTTTCTTTCTTTTTTTTTTTTTTAAATATATTTTATTGATTTCTTACAGAGAGGAAGGGAGAGAGATAGAGAGTTAGAAACATTGATGAGAGAGAAACATCGATCAGCTGCCTCCTGCACATCTCCCACTGGGGATGTGCCCGCAACCCAGGTACATGCCCTTGACCGGAATCAAACCCAGGACCTTTCAGTCCGCAGGCCGACGCTCTATCCACTGAGCCAAACCGGTTTCGGCTTCTGGTTGTTTCTTAAAACACCGATCCATCTCCGCTTGGGAGGAAGACACCAAACCTTCCTTCTGGTGGGAGCTACAAAACCAATGAACTCAACAAGCCCTGTCCCTTCTCCCCCTGAGCAGGCACGCCCCCCCCCCCCCCCCCCGGAGACCTTTACCCTTCCTTGTACAGCACACAGCCACTCAGCGTGACCCACACTTGGCAGCTCGAAGCCCACCCACTGGGCCTGTGACTCCTCCTCCCGCCCCGCCCAGTGGTGTGCCCGACCACGCCGTGCCCCCATGCCATGGCTCTCAGGTGCAACCTCTAGGGCAGCTCGGGGAGCTTGCTGGCCTCGTCCCAGGCCGCCCGTCTCTCCTCCCTCCCCCTCTAGGACTTTTGTGGGCTTGACCTCTTTCCGACATGGTGACAACTAATAGTGTCCCCTGTCCGTCTCCCTCCACGAGAGCCACCCCCAGGTCTGCTCTGCCTCTAAGTGCTTCCCGTCCTCCGCCGCCTGCCTGTGCCCCTCCATCCTGGACAGCGTGCTTCTCCGCTTGCTCTTATGCTGCAGGTGCGGAATAGTGTGGGGTGCGCCCAATAGTTGAGGTGAAGGGGGTCCCCACACTAACGCCCAGAGGAGACCAGGCTCCCAGCTGGGAGGATGCCCCGGGATCCTGCTTCATGGTGAGGGCCCTTCCCAGGCCTGTCCCTCCCTGGCTCGTCCTGGGTTCTCTGTTGGAGGAGGCAGAGACGTGGCTGCCAATCCAATGCACTTGGCTGAATCATTTCTTTCCTAGTGGCATCAGGCGGCGAAGTGGGCAGAGAAGGAAGGGTCCTTTACGGATCACAGATGCTAGTCTATATCCAGGCCCCAGGGCCCCTTTCCAATATGGGTTTAGAGGGGTGCCCTCCAGGGAGGAGCAAACAGTCATTCTTGGTGTCTTCCTCACTCTCGTGCAGAGCCTATGGACCCGGCCTCCCAGCCTCTGCTCCATTAAGCCCACGCCCTGAGGACACACCACCCCCGCCCAGCCATCTTCCCTCCTGGATGCAACTCATGCCCCCCGATGAATTCTACAGGACCGCATCCTCCAGGGCATCACAGTCCGCTGCCCCCACATCAGCCCGTGGCCTCCTGTATCTCCTCACCCCTCCCCACCCGGCGCCATGGCCACGCCCTGGACTTTGTCATCACAGGTGTCCATTCTCTGACCATGCCGCCAGCCTCCTGGCCTCCCAGCACCCACTGCATCCCTGATCCTCGCCTCCTCCTTGCCCCTGGACCTCGGGTCCTGCCCTCTCTCCCGCTCCTTCCATGTGCCCCACCTCTAGGCACCACTGGCATGATTCCACCTGTGTTGCTTACCTATATCTGCCGTGGGTGTGGTCTGGAGAAAGTTCCACCAGCTCTCAGCCTGAAGCCTCTGCAAACGCAGGCACTCCACACCCCCAGCTCTCCGCCCTCCCAGCAAGGCTTCTAGGATAGGGATCTGTCAGCACTTCACTCGCCCATCCATCCACCCACATTTACTGAGCACCTAGTAAGTGTCTGACACAAGCCTCTGCATGGGGGGCACATGGTGAGCAGTCGCCTGGGGGACAAACAAACCACAGAAAAGCGGAAGAAAAGTTGTCTAAGCTCTTCTCCAAAATGGTTGGGCCAGTTTACAGCCCCAGGAGGTGCCCAACAGTCCCCTTTCTTCTACCCCCAGGCCAGCCCTTGTTACCTCTTGTCTACTTGATGACGGCCATTCTGACAGGTGTGCGGTCTATCTCACTGTGGTTTGATTTGCATTTCTCTGATGATTAGTGATGTTGAGCACCTTTTCATTACCTGTTGGCCATTTGGATGTCTTCTTTGGAAAAAATGTCTGGTTAGTTCCTCTGCCCATTTTTTAATTGAATTGTTTGGGTGATTTTTTTTTTTAATTGAGTTGTTTGAGTTACTTATAAATTTTGGATATTAGCCTCTTATCTGACACATGGTTTGCAAATATTCTCTCCTACTCTGTAAGTTGCCTTTTTTATTTTATTTTTTAAGAGAGAGAGAGAGAGTGGAAAGGAGGAGGTGAGACAGAGAGAGAGAGAAACATGGATGTGAGAGACTGGATTGGTTTCCTCCAGGACACACAGGCCAGTACTGTGAGTGGAGCCCACAACCAAGGTTGCCACCGAGGTATGTGCCCTTGACCAGAGTCGAACCCGCAACCCTTCCATCCACAGGTTGATGCTCTCTCTACTGAGCCAAGCCAGGTGGGCATCTTTGTATTTTTTAAAAATATATTTTTGTTGATTTCAGAGAGGAAGGGAGAGGGAAAGATAGAGGCATCATTGATGAGAAAGAATCATTGATTGGCTGCCTCCTGTACGCCCCCTACTGGGGGTCAAGCCCAGAACCCAGACATGTGCTCAGACCGGCAATGGAACCAAGATCTCCTGGTTCATAGGTTGACGCTGAACCACTGAGCCACACTGGCTGGGCTTGCCTTTGTATTTCTTTTTTTTTTTTTTTAATATATTTTATTGATCTTTTACAGAGAGGAAGGGAGAGAGATAGTTAGAAAC